GTTTTATCAAAGATATTGGAAAAGTTGGTATATAGTCAAGTTTTAAATCATTTAACTAAACATAATTTGATCCCTGATTGCCAGTCAGGATTCAGGAGTAAATATGGTACTTCTGCCGTTTTAGCTAAAGTTTTGGATGATATATTAACAGAATTAGATACAGGTAAGGGTGCAAGTCTGCTTCTATTAGATTATACTAAGGCATTTGACACCTTGGGGCATGACCTTTTACTGGCAAAGCTTCATTATTACGGGTTTTCGGAAAATGTTGTGGAATTGGTTGGCAGTTATTTGTCTAATAGATGCCAGTGTGTAGTTCTCGATGAGGCTCAGTCGGATGCTTTACCGCTTTCTAGGGGTGTACCTCAGGGTTCCATTTTGGGACCACTCTTGTTCCTTATTTACACCGCTGATTTGAAAAATAATGTTGTGGATTGCGAACTGCATCAATTTGCCGATGACACGCAAATATATGCAACTTACACTGCTGAAAATGCAGCAGCTGTTTACAATAATATTAATTCTGCTCTTGAGAAAATAAGTAAATACTCATTGAATCATGGTCTTCAGTTGAATCTTGGCAAAACTCAAATGATTTGTTTTGGTAGGGTACCCTTAGCAAAGGGATTATCTGTTAAACTGAATAACGAAATAATCCATCCATTAAAAACTGTCAAGAATTTGGGTTTGGCTCTAGATTGTGATTTGAGATTTCGAAATCATGTCAATTCGATTGTGCAGAAAAGTTATACAGCATTGAGGGGATTGTATAGGAATAAAAATATTATGAGCAAGCATTGAAACGTAGTCTATGTGACAGTTTGGTTCTTAGCCATGCCAACTATGCTGACATTGTCTATGGACCTTGTCTTGACGTGCACTCCTCTTCCAGAATACAGAAGATTCAAAATTCATGTGTACGTTTTATTTGTTCTCTGGATAGAGGGGAGCATATCTCACCTTGGCTTAAAGAATTGAAGTGGCTTAATATGTATGAACGCCGTAGACTGCATTTGGCTACCTTTGTACACAAACTAATTAAATTACAGACACCATTATATTTAAAATCTAAATTAAAACTGCGCCAAACTGTTCATAGCAGAGACACTCGAAATATTAATCAGTTATATCTACCTCAATATAAGACCTCTTTATATCGACGATTTACGTATTCTGCGGTCTCGTTATATAATTCCCTGCCAAGTGCTTTAATAGCTAAGTCCCTCGGTTCATTTAGATCGGGGTTCAGAGATTTATTATTCCATAATGTGAGTTGAGTATTCTTTTTGAAACCAGCCAACTATGCCTCTCCTTGGCTCTCTCTTCATCAACACCAATACATGCCTGTTGCCTTATGTTATTGCATAATGTACTTACATATAAGTATTAATTGTTCTCTATGTGTGCTCTATGTGTTACACTAATAGTTTTGTTAATGCTTTATATTTTTTATATTTTTTTGTATTTTTCATTATTTTTTTTTGTTATTATATTTATACATTTGATATATTAATTTAAGATAAGGTAGTGGATATTGATATTATTTGTTAGGTTATACTGTAATGGTACTCGGTTAACTAAGCAGTTATTTACTGAAATTCGCCGAGGATTATTAAAACAAAGACATATTATTATTATTATTATTATTATTATTATATCATTAACGAAAGGCTAAAACCGTATATTCAACCACAAATCCCTCCAGAGCAAGGAGGATTCACAAGAGGTCGAGGAACACGTGAACAAATTTTGAATGTCCGTCAGGTTATCGACAAGGCCCGAGAATTTAACAATCCGCTCTATATTTCTTTCATAGATTATCGAAAAGCTTTTGACAAAGTCAATTGGTCAAAACTATGGATGGTTCTAACAGAAATGGGCGTGCCTCTTCATTTGATTTCATTGATCCAGAATCTCTATATAAATACCAAAAGTAGAATTACCATCAATGGCGTTATTTCGGCAGACTTCCAGCCTACCTGTGGTGTTAGGCAGGGGTGCATACTGTCTCCTCAGTTATTCAATTTATATACTGAATATATCATGAGAAGGGCACTGGAACATTGGCAAGGGGGGACAACAATTAATGGTCACAAAACCACCAACCTCAGATTTGCAGACGATACGGTACTTCTAGCGGGAAACGAAGAAGAGTTACTATAGCTTCTAAAATTGGTTGAAGACGAAAGTGAGAAACTTGGACTTGAAATTAATCCCTCCAAAACAAAAATTATGATTATCGACATGCAAAACAACAACAAACTTGATGTAGTGAGCATTGGTCGTTTTGAGGTTGTAAGTCAATATATATATCTTGGGTCACTTATAAACAACACAGAATCGTTAGAAGGGGAAATAAGAAGATGTGAAATGACAAGAGTGCATGGCAGAGAATCGTTAGAAGGGGAAATAAGAAGATGTGAAATGACAAGAGCGCATGGCAGTGCGAAAACTCTCAAAGATATGGCGAGACAACAATATATCTAAACACTTAAAAAAAGGCTTGTTCACTGCCTAATATTTCCTATATTAATGTATGGCTCCGAGTCCTGGATGATGATACAGTCAGAAATTAAAAAAATTGATGCAACTGAGATGTACTGTTGGCGACGAATGCTCAGAATTCCCTGGACTGCCCGGCGAACCAGTGAATCCCTAAGCCAAGAACTGAACATCACAGAACGCCTATCAACTTCTATACAGTCTCGTATACTTAAATATTTCGGTCACGTTATGAGGAGGGATACTGACTGTATGGAAAAACTCATTATACAGGGCAAGGTTCCGGGAAGAAGACCAAGAGGCCGCTCGCCCTCCCGATGGATAGACCAGTATTAAAGATCACCCACAAGCCACTGCACACGCTTGTACATGAAGCACAAGACAGGGAATTATGGAAACAAACCTTACACATCACCTGACCACTACTTTCCTATTGTAGGAATAAAGACAGAGGGAGAGATTTTATGTTTTATTAGAATAGTCATAATCAAGAGGGCTACTGGTACCGTGTTATAAAAAATAAGGTAGATAAGGGCTTATTGTTTCGCATTTATTATATTTTTGCTAATATCTTCTGCATGAAAAAGATCAAGATGCGTTTTTCGTTTCTACGCCCTTTTATTCCGTTCTACTATAACGTGAACAATTTTTGTTAAATTGTAAGACAGCGCCCCCTGCCGTCTACTGTCAAATGCATATTATTATTGTTTATATCGTACATATACGTCTAGAGTAAGGAACGCTTTTTTAAACAAGCCCTAATTTGTTGGATTCCGATTACCCAGTCCGGAGTTAATAATATACAGGATCCGGCAATAGTGCGTCGGGCATCTGTAGCTCCTAAAATAAAAAACTTGATAATTTTATTTAAGTGCAAACCTAAAGTATGTATCAGGATGTATTTCAAGTAAATGTTTTAACTTCTATAGGGTCGCCCAAAAAAGTGTGAGTGGATCTGGATGATTTTTTTTATATGGAACATCCTGTATATTATTGCATTTTTGGCTTCTTTTCAGATCAATTTAGATAATCCTAAGATATGAGTAAATATATTTTGATAGTTTCAGAGATATTAAAAAATAAATCAAAAATATATATTTTTCAGCCCTTCTTAAAAAATATTAAAAATACAGGAACTGTTCTGAAATCAAAACTATAATAGGTATTTACTTTATATGGTCTGTTCTTACTTTGCTATAAATATGGTAATGGTAAATCATACAGGATGTTCAATATTCTGCGCCAAACACTCTAAAATATAAAATATTTTTTCTTTGTTTTTTTTTTAATTGAACACCCTGTATATTATTTCTTTATTAGATGGAGAGTTAAAAAATGAACATTTTTTGTATATAAAGTATTTAAAAATTTTTAATAGTTTTGCAGATGCACACAGTATTATTGCGTATGGCGCTTTCAATGGTAAAATACGAGAGAAATTGGCTTTGATAAAAATTTACTGTGGAAAATGCCATATGAAATATAAAACTGGTAATATCTGCGAGACCGCTAAAAATTTTGAAATACAAAAAATGTTCATTTTTTAATTCTCCTTCTATTGAAAAAAATAATATACAGGGTAAAAAAAAACGAAGAAAAATTATTTTATATTTTAGAAAGTTTGGCGTAGAATTTTGAACACCCTGTGATGATTTACAATTTCCCTATTTATAGCAAAGTAAGTAAAGACCATCTAAAGTACATACCTAATATAGTTTTGATTTCAGGACACTTCTTGTATTATTAATAATTTTTTTAAGAAAGGCTGAAAAATATATAATTTTTATTTATTTATTAATATCTCTGAAATTGTCGAAATATATTTACTCATGTCTTAGGATTATGTAAAGTGAAAGGAAGCCAAAAATGCAATAATATACAGAGTGTTCAATTTAAAAAAAATCATCCCAATCCACTCACACTTCTTTGAGCCACCATATAGAAGTTAAAATATTTTCTTGAAATGCATCCTAGTACATACTTTAGGTTTGCACGTTTTTTTTGCAACAAAATACCTGTTTTAAAAATGTTTTTATTCTAAGAGCTACAGATGCCCGACGCACTATTGCCGGACCCTGTATAGTTATTATAAAAATATATTTATCCTTTCCCCACCATTTTATTTCATCAGACGGGGGAAAATAGTTCAAACAAAAAAAATCTGGAATTTGGGGAAGATTATGCGTCATTATTTAGGCAAAATTTTGTAAAAATTCCATTTTTTTATTTGCCAACGGAGTTGCGTCTTTTAGCAGCCGTTCTACTAACGAAAATAATTTCCATCAATTTCTCATTTCTCTTTAGCCATAACTATTTTTTTCCGCAGGCTTTATGGCTAATATTTTCCGAGATACAGCCGAGAGGTATTCTTAGTGGAACACCCGGTACATGTTTTGCACTTTTTTTTTATTAAAATTAGGGCTGATTAATCGAGGAGGAAGAACCGTGTGGAGCTTTCATCGTCCATGCGCATTGCATTGAAGCGTGCCGCGGGAATCGGCTAGGGCTTAAAATCTGGCTCGAGCGCAAGAAACGGCCATCCCAATCGCTGGTGTCGCATCGCTGACATCGAGTGACTGTTCTTCCTGCTACGGGCATTATCCCATCGTTCGGTTGTCGTTTACCGTCGCGTGCGCGTCTCTTCAACAACTTTTGCCAGCAAAATGGTAAGTTAAAAATTTGAATTTTTTTTATTCCGGGTGTAAATGAATAAGTACCAAAATATTCAGGAGGTGTTTGTTTCAAAAAATAAGAATTTTTTATATAACTTTTTTTTGGTGCGAAAAGTTTCCCTACAAAGTTATACAGGGTGTGTCTTAAATAAGTGCAAATATTTTCAGGGCTGGTAGATCTCCATAAAAGAAACATATTTTCTCTTTACCGTTTTTCAAATAAGTCCAAAATAACCGAGCTATTTTACTTTGAAAATTTCCAAAAAAAATGTAAATTTTGAGAACCATCGCATCTTTTCTGGGTTTTCTTTCTTGTAAATTCAATCTACTACCTATATTGCTATATTATCAAGAAATTATGTTTTTTTAACTAAAAACTAAAAAAATTTCCAAAAAACTTTTGTAAAGATTCCAAAATTTCAAAAAGAAATTCGCGAAAAAAAACATCATAATCGTGTTTCTGTGGTCGAAATACACTACCCCTAAAAATATTTGCACTTATTTAAGACTCACCTTGTATAGTGTATAGTCACCGGCACGAAAAACGGACACTTTAAAATTTTCGTGCATTTTAAAGTTATATACAGGGTGTCCCAGAAATAAGTGCAAGTATTTTAACTGGTAGTTTAGTTCAACCCCAGAAACACGTCTATGAGTTTTTTTTCGCGAAAAAAAATTTTGAAAGTTCGAAATTTTAGTTAAAAAACATAATTTCTTGATAATATGGCAACATAGGTATTAGATTAAATTTACAAGAAAGAAAATCTAGAAAAGATCCCGGGTTCTCAAAATTTTAGCAAAAAATCATTTTTTTGGGGAAATTTTCGAAGTAAAATAACTCCGTTAGTTTGGACATATTTGAAAAACGATAAAGAGAAAATATGTTTCTTATATCGAGATCTACCATCCCTTAAGAAGGTTGCACTTATTTCTGGGACACCCTGTATAGTGGACCGATTTTTATGATTTTTTAAGCAATTTGTAGCTAAACTATTTGACTTTTTAGTGCCTCTTTCTAAATTAAAAATAAAAGTTGCCATCTGTTACTTATACGAGGGAAAACAAAATGTTGATATTTTGGTGAAAGTTTGAAAAACGTTGACAAAGCAAGGAATTTAAAAATCATTTTATCTTCTAGGTGTATCGTTTTTCGATAGTTTGTTTTTTTATTCATCTCAATAACTTTTTTTGGAGATATTTGTTTTTGAAGAAGACACTAACTTTTTTCGTATTTTTTACATTAAAACCATACCTTTGTTTTTGGTCTTAGTCAACAGACCTATAAAAGAGTGGTTATGATTCATGTAATGTCACTGTCTTTTAAAAATCATATTATTGTCTGTCGTTACTCTGGCAGATATGGTTTTAAGTCCAAAAGTTGATCTCTGCCATGATCAATTAAAGCTCCAATAGCCGATACTTCAGAACGTAAAACCATCTCTACGAGAGCAATACACAATGATAATATGACTTTTCAGTGACAGTGAGATTACAAAAATAATAAACACTATTTTACAAATGTGTTGATGAGGACCCAAAATCAATGCAAAAGCTGCGTTTAAATTTACTGTGTTATTCAAAAGCGAATATTCCCAATAAAAATAAAGCTATTGAGATAAATCAAAAAACAAACTATCGAGGAAAGACGTACTTAGATGATAAAATGATTATTAAATTCCTTGCTTTGTTAACATATCCCACAGGGGGTTTCAAACTTTCACGAAAATATCAACATTCGCTCGTATAATAGACAGATGGAAAATTTCGTTTTAATTTAGAAAAAGCTACTCAAAAAAGTCAAATGATTTAGCTACAAATTGCTTAAAAATCTAATAAATTAAAAAATACCGAGGGTGTTACTTAAAAATCAAAAGTTGGAGTTATTTCCGGTGAAACAGGAAGTGACCAAAAACAATTGAACGTCAATCTATCCTAATTTATGTCATATACTAATACTAACCTAACCATTTTTTGCTTAAGTTTTGAGAACCACTGGATATTTTTTTTTCACCGTTTTTTTTCTTTTTACTTAGAAGGTTTATTTTTAGGTCTGGCAGGTCTCAATAAAAGAAGCATATTTTCTCTTTACCGTTTTTCAAATAAGTCCAAAATAACCGAGTTATTTTACTTGATAGTTGAAAAAAAAACGATTTTTTGCTCAAGTTTTGAGAACTACTGGATATTTTTTTTCACCGTATTTTTTTCTTTTTACTTTAATTTTCTTTAATCTACTACCTATGTTGCCATGCCATATTATCAAGATTATTCAAGATGTTTTTAAATAAAAATTTTAAAAAAAATTGTGAAAAAAGCTTCATACTGACGTAGTTATAATAACAAAATTTATTTATTTATTTAACAAAATGGCATATAAAGGTGCCATTACACGGCGTGTGGCTTGCCGATCCAAGGCCGATCCACGCTTCCGGCGCGCGAATCGCCGAGCCAGGACGCGCCAATGCGTATTTTCGCTCTTCCGATCTCACGGCCGACCGAGAGACAGAGACAAAAAATACATTATATAACTTTTTAACATAGACTATCGGTTTAAATTGAGTTTAAATTCATACAATCAAATAATTTATTCCGCAACTTTATTTTCAGTGCAGTTTAGTAAGATATAACAGATAACATAACAAGATGGAAAGCAAAATCATCTGGTTAAATTAAATTAAATAAGATCATTTTTAATAAATTTAAAAAACATTTTTTTGCCTTATTTATGAAAATATAATTTTAGAGCATATCATTTGAATCGGTCATTCGAGAAACCCCGTAAGTCTAAAAAATACAATTTTTGGTTTTCATTTGAGAAACACCGTAACCCTTGGACTTATGGGGTTTCTCAAAGAAATAGCGTACGCTCATATTTATTTGGATCATTAGTGCTATGACAGCAAGAAGGGTTTCTCTGTGGATCGATGCGTCTACAATCTATAATTCCAAAAATGCTTAAACGTCATTTTGGCTAAAATATGGACTTAGGGGGTTTCTCAAATGACCGATTCATTTATTCAGAAAGCCCATAACAAGGCAAATCATATACAAAAATAATCTACTGGGTGTCTCATTTAAAAAATAGAAGTCAGATTTCGAAAATGAGAACAATCAGCGAAACTAGTTAACGTCACTGGATTCTACGTAAAAAACTAAACGAGACTGAGTTTTCACCTTTTCGATAAGTTATAAAATAACCGATATACGATGGAATCGAAAAATGCAACATTTTAAAATTCGTCTTGGGCCCGTATTCTGTAACTTTGAAAACGCTAAGTGCTTTTAGACGCTCAGCGTATATGACGTTAATTTTCGCTAAGCGCGCACTTAATTAACGATTTCGGTATTTTCGTCTGACGCGCTTAGCGTCTTTACTGATTGCGCTGAGCGCTTTGAAAACGGTTGCCTTAAAGGATCGTTTTGCTTGTCGAACTGTCAGTGAAAATCAAAAAAATTGTGATTTAGTGCGTTATCTTGCTCTTTAGTGAAAATTACTACTTCTATAAATTCCTCAATAAGTAATTGATAATTTAGGACTTGGCAGCTATAAATATTGTTCAAAACATCCAAAATGCTGAGAAGCGTCTTCAATACTTCCCTCGTATAATAAGAATAATGACATATCCATAGAAAAATTGATTGACATAACTCAACAATAAGTTAAGAAATTCACGTAACATTGACATTTTTCATTGTTACATCCGTCAGTTATCAATTTTTGACTATTAGCTACATTAGAAACTGTGATGTTGCCAATATGTGCTCAACGCGTATCCAGAACACAATTCGCATGGCAACGAGAATGCCAAATCGACTGCCTTGCGTTTCGCTGATCGAATACTTGCGCTCACCGTTTTGAAAGCGCAACGTTTTTATGTCAAAGTTACGAGCACTGTGTATTTTAGAAACTGCCTGCATACGAGCCCTGTGTATTTTAGAAACTAAAAAAACTAGAACAACTTTTCTTCTTTTTTAATTCTTTAATTAATTAATTTTTTAATTCGTTCATGGTGCAATTGATACTCAACTTTTGATGTATTCTCAGGCAGCCGTCGTGTATTTCATTTCTATTTTTATGTGCATTATTTCTGGGGTTCCAAGTTATTTGTTCTTTTTCATATAGGGGTGAAAACTCAGATATAGTCTCGTTCGACCAAGACATGCTGTCTCGAAATATGTAAAATATCAATTATTCTTCGAATCTCCGTTTTTCGATAGATATGGTAGGTTACATAATCAAATGTATCACATACCTACTGTGTTCAAAGTAAACAATTTTTTGTCGTACCGCGGTTAATACCTGGCCGGCTATAAATCAGTTCATATCTGATTGAACTAATCCCACTGAGGGGTAAATTGGTGCCTATAATATATTATTATAATCATCGGCAATTACCACCGTTCAAATTACCGCCAATAAATTAGTATAGCTATACAAATTTTAAATAGCATAATTGCACAAAATTTTATGAATTAATATTTCTATAGCTGCTGTAAAATTTAGAGGTATAATTAAGTATCAAATACAATTATTAAACATACATAAATCACCTCAGCAAAATGTATATAGTGCTTCTCACCCTTCTAGTAATAGATGGTAATAGTCAACATTTTTGACATGTTCTACACCCTTCGAGGTATTTGTATGTAACTTATATTATTTTACTTAGAACTAATAAACGATATCTATCTATACGAGTATATCCTTTATTCAACATTTAGAATAAATAGTAATTTTAAACAATAACATGGTAGATTATATTGGTATACCCCGTATTTATCAGTAATTAATATGATATTTATAGATTTTTTTAAGCTAATATCAAATTATGTATGTTTGCATTAAATGGAGTTATTTGAATAAATTATGTAACAAATAAAATTAACTGAATTTAAAAGAATTACTGGTGAAGACCTCGCACGGCGCGTTTGCTTTGAAATTTACCGCCAGTCGACGGGAAGGACGCGCCGACCGAAGATCGAAAGCGAATTTTTTT